CGAGTATTTGCAGTAACTAGTTCAGACGTGTGTAGGAAACCTACTTCCCCTCAGGCTGTTGTTGGGAACAACCCGCGAAAGCTTACAATCAGCTGTTTTCAAGGTCGTCCAGATGTTTATCTGTACTGAAGCTTGTATCGAGTGTCTCTTTGCCAGTATTGTGTTACATAAAAAATAATAAGTTTCTAAATAATACATTATAAAATAAATGAAAATTTATACTATAATTTTCTATAAATTTATTTTATAAAATGGTGTATTATAAATTATTTTGATTTTTTGTGGGAGCTTATTGTAAAGCTTTTTATGTCAAATAATGTCTCAACAAATACAGAAATAAACCAATTACAGTTCTAAAAAGATTACTATTGATTTTATCAGCCAATAATCTTTCTTCTTACTGCTAATTACTTTACAATGGTAAGGGACTGACTTTTCCGAAATATTTATGACCTGGAATGGTGAGAAAACATTTATTGGTTCAAACAAATACAAGAAAGCAAATCGAAGCTTAGATAGCTACGAACTTCATTTCATTTTTTACATTACATTCATTATATATTTTGTGGTTAAATTAACTTTTTTAATTATTTTATCGCTAACCGACGAATGGCAGCTTCTCGGCAAAACTAATAATAGTACAGAGAAGCCGAATCGCAGGGGGCCCCTGTAAAGTTGGCTATCCAAAGGAGAAGATGCCATTTAGGAACCAATTTTTACAAATTGAAAAAATTCGAATGAAACTTTTTTCCAGATAAAATAGATGCTTTCTTTTAAATAATAATAAACAATTTTTTTCATTTAAAGCCGTTCTTTTTAATAGTTCGTACGTTGAGAGGTTAAAACGTGAATACTAGTCGTCATAAAAGCGATAGTGTTGAAAAATTCAAATACTAACTGTCCTTATTTTTATGGAAGAACACATCGAATGGTTAATCTTCTGTTGGTACAGTTAAGTGTTTGTTACACTGGGGATTCACGCAATGGCAAACGATTCTTGGTTCCGTAGAAAACCATAAGTACTGAATGTTATCACTATATCCGACGAAAGAACGTAGTTTTTCAGAATCGTCCGCTAAGGTGTTCAGTATTGAAATTGGTATTTTCTGTTTAAAAAAATGACAAATTAATTAGACAAAAGTTTTTCCATTCATATATTTATCACACCAAAAGTATGTTTATTGTTCAAATTGCTTAATAGTTAAGAATGATGCCCAAAAGCTGTCGATGGGATTTTAGTGTGGATCATTCGCTTTCAACTTCAAGAGTTAGATTTTTTTATTCCTTAAAAAGTCCTTTGGTCACATTAGTAATATGAATAAAAATGAAGATCCACTTTTCCTCCGCAAGCAAAGGGGCTTTGGACAATAAAAATTCTGATAATGAGTAATCATTGGCATTTGGTCTCTCTTCAGAAAAGTCATCCCTGTTATACCACCGAACACAAATCCTACTCAAACCATAACTCAACATCCTACCATCTGCTGGCAATACACAGTCAGATTTTTTCTTTAAATCATACCTATAATACTTAAAGCCATTCAAATTGTCAAGGGCCAAAAAGGGGGAAGAAATAACTATTATATGAGATATATCGTTATCGTCTCCATTGCTGTCTGAACTGCCGAGCGGTAACAGTCAACGATATGTAGGAGCGGTTGAGTCGGAGATCTATGCCTCATTTACAAACAACACAACCCGTTTATTAGACAATTAACTTACAATAAAAGTACTACAGTCACGAAAGATTAAAGTCCTTGTATATCGACGTATGCGTATGCGCAAAGAGGAGGAGGAAGGTCCGAGGTTTCTTATCTCTGACCGGATGTATTATTCTAAGACCAGTTCTCGAACAGGAAGTGATGTCCGGTGAATGCAGATCGGAATTTCCGAAGTTTCTCTCAACGAAGGTCTATAATCGGAGGATACATCGACAAAGGACGAAGATGGAACCTTGCGGGAAACACCCCAGCGAGGGACATAGCCTCGCAGGACGCTACGGCAAAGAACGAAGTTGTCCTTATGGCCTGGCCCCGGGCATAAATATCTTGTGGTCTCGCAAATAGTTACTTTATTGGTTAATTAATTAATTAATCCTCTTTCTCAGTCCTCGATTGGCCTTTCTGTTACCAGGTGAAATTGGACCAGATCGCTTCCCGAGAAAAACAATTGTTTATGAATACAATTCGATACGGTTTGGTGTTGAACGAACCTTAACTACTTTGTACCTTAACTACCAATTCCTTTTTTTTTTGTCCTGTTTCTATTAAATTTTCTATTAAAAATGTATTAAATTTTTGTGGTTAAAGGTCGAGGGGGTGGAGAGATAAAGGGAGTCGTGTGTATTTTCAGTAGGGTCGGATTCAATGACAATTTTCCTCGTTATTAACATTTATACGTTTTTTTTCTTTATAAAAGCCATCTCTACCCTCAAAATTCAGCTCTTTGCCATTTTGCCAGAAGGATTTCCCAAATCCTGTTAGAGCAAAACCGGAAGTCGTATTGTAAGAGAGATATTCCCAATTTTCAAACCGTGTTAGAGCGAAACCGTGTTGTAGAAGTGCCGCGTTGTACGAGTGATATCTGTACTTAACGTTACATTTCAGGATGAAACATGTTTGCATTATCATTATCTGCATATAAATATGTGAAATAAGATAGCTGTTTGTATGTTTGTATACATTGTACTTCTGCTAATTTGACCAGTATACACTAATTTTTTTTCAAACTTGATTATTTTTTGTCATTTTGTTATTTTTATGAAACTTATTTTTATAAAGAATTTAGCAGTATTTTGGCAAAAAGAGCAGAAAAATTACATGTTTTGTCTTTTCTTTCTGAAAGAAGAAAATTAAATTAGAGAAGATATTGTTTTCGACTAATTCAACTTTCAAGATAATAACTAGCGCCTATCATTTAGGTAATTGCAATATTGAATTATACCGTTTGAAATTTATTAATTATGCAACTCTTTTCTGATGACACTTAATTATAATAGAATAAACACTTCACACATAATGCGATTATAATAAAATATTGTGCGATTATTCTCATATAATTAAAATTAATATGTATTTATTTTTTATAAAATACAAGGGAAGCGGCGCATCCACCGCTTCCAATGACGGCAGGCCACTGATAAGTATGCAAATAAATACAAAGTTTGTCGTAGGAAATATGCTTTGCAACATTTTCCAGTCTTTAAGTGCTACGTTACATCAGTACATCTTTGTTTCTACTCCTGACGTGCACGTATCATAACCCAATAACCAATATATCACGAAATTACTACTCGAGATGCCATCAAAATATCAACAACGTAAAAAAGATAAACTTTTAAAGCTGCGAGGATGAAAAGTGTTCAATATATAAGGCATCTAAAGACTGTGGTCATAATTTCAATAAAGATGTTTAAATAAAACAGGAGCATAATGAATGCAGTTTGTTTGGTTTAGTACCACAAGAAATGCCAGGCAACATATGAAAAATGAGATGCGTTTACGCGTAATGAATATGCTAGCAATTCAGATGACGATTGTAGTTATTTTATGTACTCATGTATGTATTATCACAGATAAAAAGTATAAGAGAAATTATTGTATATACTAGGCTACAAAAATTATATTCAATTAATAGCAAGCCATTATTTATTGTGACATCGTCGCAATGCTTCCATCTCAAATTAGTAGTGTCTTGTCCCTATACATCATACTTTTCCTGCTAGTAATATAGTCGTGCCGGTCATCTATCTAACTCCTCTCAGTTGAAAATTTTTGAATTTAAATAACGCAGCTTCCGGTGTGCATCTGAAGTTAATGTATAGTTGCTTGGAGCTACCTGCTCCTATGCTATCCAAATCTGGTCTCTAATTTCATCTACCTAACTCTATTCTGGAGATTAAGGAAAGACTGTCTGTCTTTCCTTAATCTCCAGATTAAGGAAACGGGAGATTAAGGCAACGGGAATATTATAGTTGTACAAGTTTTCAAATTGCAACCCAACATATAAGCTAAAGTATCTTCTCACGAAATTAGCAATGTATCATTACGATCTTACCCATGATATCTCGAAATAATCACCTGTACGAAACATAAGAAATATACTCCTAGAAAAGTAAGATATAAATATATTCATAATGATAAAAAGCAATGCTGTTATCTAGAAAGTATGGTCTCTTTAATCAAATAGTTAACATTTCCACGTGATCGTTACGTCGACAATGCCCAAGTCAAGACTGACACCACTCGTGACTTTAGGCGCACAGAAACCTTCCAAATAATTATCGGTGGAAAAATCTTGCACTTCCTCTGTTGAATTTGTCAATTCGGGTTTTAAATTATTAAACTGTTTTTCCTATTTTTCGTAAATACATTTCATTAAAGTATGGAAGTAAAATGTACTGTTTTACTTCATTTTTCACTACTATATATATCAATAATGTTAATGTAAAGAGTGTAATAGCATCAATAGTCTGCTGTTCCAACTGAAGAGGCCTGAACTTATAAATACTGTATATTTTACTGCTGTATATATTGACTCCAAAAGTTAATAAAGAAAGAAAATAATTCTCTGAAAAAAAGTGTACCTTTAATATTTTTTGTGAAATAATATCAACCCCATTGATTTTTTTAAAACTTTTTTATTTCTTAATTACAAAATATAAGAATTTACCGTCAACAGAAAACTAACCACTTGTGTATATAACTGGAAAAATTCAAATATTTTAACTACTATTAAAATATATCAAAGTATCTTGATAAATTTACATTATTTTTAAACAAGAATAAACAACTAACACCTAATTATATTTCATGCAACAAAGAAATAAATTGAATTGAATTGAAATGCATACTTACTAGAAAAATGACAAAGATTTTAACCATTCTATAAAAAACTACACACGTGTTTCTACTATAATTTCTATTCTCTAAAAACTAGATTATTTTATAAACCTTAATAATTGATTTTATTTGTCCCTTTCACATACTCTTCATTCCATATTATGCAATATATTCTTTTCTTCTTGCTTTATACATATCAAGACCAAACCAGATGATGGAAAATACGACAGGAATTAACAATAAAGCATGAAATGCAGTTTGCACCGCAATTATAACAAGTATTTTAACAAATGCTTTATTCAAAATCATAGTTTTCTGCAAAACAATCAACACACCTATTCCGGTTGAGAATGCGCCCTGAAATATCGGAAATCCCACATTATATAAACTATGCTGCAATTTTCCTCTTATGGTTTTATCTGACGAAGTGAGAAAAGAATAACATATGTGAGTAGGATAATTAACACAAAACCCCATAGAAATTACTAAGCAGAACATGGAAGCGATGTCTAAGTCCACACCCCATAACGACATATAACCCAGAGTTTGTATCGTAATAGACGAAATGCACAGAGCAACGACAACCGAATACAAAATATTTGGATTAAAAGAAACAAAAATTACAAGATTAATTAACGACGTTATCCAAAAAAAATGAAAGACCACTTCTCTAATAATGATACTTTGCTCAACGAATGGAGATATCATGGTGTGAATAAGAACGGAGAAAGGAAATTCCTCCGCCATCTTTCGTATATCTTTGATTAATTTCGACTCCGTGGTTCTATCCGAAACATTTCTTGCTAAAAGAAAGAAACGACTACAAATAATATCCGTATAATTATGATTAAATACGATATCATTCTGGTAATGTTTGGCTCCTGGAAATTTCAGAAACACCTGCCGTAAACCATCGATGAAATCTTGTTTAGTGGATAAATCGTATCCCATAAAAGAATATTTCGCTGCTGTATGTTGTTGAAAGTCTTTATAATACTTCAACCAAGATATGTCCATATCTGCCACGTTCGGATGAGACTGGAACTTTTTAATCATGTCGTCTAATGATTTCTGAACGACTTCGTTTGAATAATCCAAAGTTTTGTTAATCACTATGTGAATACTAAATGGATATTCAGTAAAATATTTATAATATACTCGAAATGCTCGAGTGATCTTGGAATTTTCGGGATAAAAACCAAAAACATCGAGACCTTCGTTCAAAGAAATGACACCCCATATACCTAATGATAAACTAATGACATAGACAAGTAATATAATAATTTTACAAGACGAATAAGAAAGAAACAGTGCAACTTTGTCCTTGAAGAATTTCATAAAAATGTCTTCCTGCTTCTCTTCTTCATGACTATAATTCATGCTGAATTCTGGAAGGTAATAAAAACGAATTTATGACATTTATTATAATTGGAATATTTTAATAATATTCTGATGCAGAAGATGTTAGATATTTAAATTTATTATATGATTAAATAAGCTAAGGAATAGAATTGAATGTTCTAGAAATGTAACCACTTTTAAAATAAAAGTTATACAGGGTGTATCAGTACAACGGTTACAAACTTCATCATTTCAAGGAATGTACTAAAAAAGACAGTGATGCCACCTGCACCAACTGTAAACAAAATAAGAATGAAAATTGCTCCCATGATGCCTTTGACGAAGAGTACCCTGTTTACAGAAGAATGAAGACACAACTTATTTTGAGAACTAATTATGGGGACTGATCCGCTGCAAACAAACCTCCAGAGGTCCATCAATGCCACTTCTAATCTCAGCACTGTTATGAACAACTATGATCTGGTCCTTGTTCAAGAGCCATATTGCGTGAATAACAGGGTTACTTGCATCCCTCACTCGCACCTTATTATTCAGTCCAATGGCTCCTACCCTTGGGCTGCCATTATGATTCCCAAAAATAATATCCATGTTCTTTCTCATCAGCATGTCAGCAACGACAAAATGGTCTGGATAGAGATTAGGCTTGGGAATTATCCAATCATATTTGGGAGCTTCTATTGTCAAAAAGGCAACTTCTACAATTCAATTGTTAATAACTTGGATGAATCAGTCAAGAAGTTCCATCATGCTGAAATCATAATAGGCGGCAATTCCAATGCCTGTTCTCCCATGTGGGGAAGGGATCTGTTGGATGATGAAAGCAAGGCCTACAAAGACCTCTTGGCCTCCAACGGCATGTTGTGTATTAACAATCCCAACTCTCCTCCTACCTTTGAGGGGCCCAATGGTAGCTCCTGGATCGGCATTACAATCGCCAGCATAAGGAGTTTTGATTGGGTTCATAACTGGCATGTCACTAACGACGACAGCTTAGCAGACCACAATGCTATTGAGTTCACCGTTGTCTTTGGGGCAGAAAAATCAGCAGAAATTTCATTAGGTGTTACAACACCAGGAAAGCTAACTGGGACAATATCTCACATCTCTACTTTTCACATGGTCTCAACCAGAGAGACTGCCATCAGCATTGTAAATAACACCATCAACTCTGTTCACAAGGCATGCAGTCACGCAATCCCTCTCCGTAGGCCTAATGCCTCAGGAGTCTCTTGGTAGAACGATAACCTGGCTGGTATGAGGGTAAAAAATAATAAATTACGTAAGCTATTTCAAAGAAGTAGGGATTCATTTTCAAGCAAAGTTACCTGGAATTTCAAGTGACCTACAAGAAGGCAATAAGGGATGCCAAGACCTCTTCGTGGAGGGACTTCTGTTCTTCAGCCTCAATTAATCCTTGGGTTTGTGTACCGTTTGTGTGCCAACAAGCTTAAACACAAGTCGTGCCTCTCTACTCTCAACACTGGGGATGGTTGCACTTACAACTTTGATGGCACCATCAATGCCATTCTGGATTCTGTGTGTTAGGACGTTAATCCAACAGAAGACTCAGACTTCGACAGCAATATTAGGAACTCTTCTCACCACCCCGTTGACACAGAGGATTCTCCTCCCTTTACTCAGGCCGAGATTGACTGGTCTGTCAATAAACGCTCTCTCTATAAAGCTCTTGGTCTGGATGGGCTAACTCAACGGTTCCCAACGTTTTTCGGCTGGCGACCCCTTTTTATAAAAGCCAAGTGTCCCGCGACCCCGATACAATTGAAAAAGACGTTTTTAATAAGGTAATTAAAAAAACACAACGAAATTAGTTTTTTAGTGTAATTTTATTTTAAATTATGTTTAATAATTTAATGCGATGGTTGAAATTGCATGTTATTAACCAGCCTCAAAATTCGCGGGTGAGTTTTTGTTAACGCCAACCTCATGTCATTCTCAGCATTTAATTTATTCCTCTCAAACTCCCAACACATGTTTCAATCAACTGTGACAGAATAGCGTACCTAGATTACACTTATTTTAATTTTTAAAAAATATATGAAATTATTCAAACTTCAAGACACCATTAAAAATAAAAATTGCATTATACTGAATATTTTTTAGTTTACTGTGTAAATTGGCGACCCCACAGAAAGCCTGTTGCGACCCCCTTCTGGGTCGCAACCCATAGGTTGGGAACCCGTGGGCTAACTGCAGGTATCATGAAGAACATTTGGACTAACCGTCCCAACATCATCTCCTACCTTATGAACATCTGCCTTCATTTCGGTATATTCCCAGATTCTTAAAAGGACGCTAAAATTGTCCCTATCCCAAAAGTTGGAAATCAGCCCATTTGCACTCCCAATGATTATCGCTGCATTTCTCTTCTTCCTGTTCTTTCCAAAGTCTATGACCGTCTCTTGAGCAATAGGCTTAATTGGCACCTTGAGGCCAATAACTTTCTTAGCCCCCAACAGTTTGGTTTTAGGCAAGGCCGGGGCACCACTGATGCTATCCTTGCCATGACTGACAAGGTTAAACTTCTTCAGTCTTACACTTATGTCTTGGAGCTTAGTTTGGATATTAGCAGCGCCTTCAATGCCGCTTGGTGGCCTCTCATTCTCTTGAGGCTGCGGCAGGCTCGCTGTCCTGCTAATATTTACCATGCTTTCTCAGACTACCTGAATAATAGGTATGTTACTTTTATTTCAGGTAACACTGAAATCAGGAGAAAGACTTTTAGAGGCTGTCCACAGGGTTTTGTTTCTGGCCCTATGTTCTGGAATCTGCTCTTTAATAATTTCCTTTCTGACATCCAGGACTGTGATGGTATTTTCGCGTATGTGGATGACGCTCTGATCCTTCTAGCAGCCTTTTCTCGCTCTAACTTGGAGTTCAAGGCCAAAAAAGTGATGGACAACATTACTAAGTGGGGCAAGAAGTATAAATTGAAGTTTAATGCCAACAAAACCAAGGGTATCGTTTCTACGAATCCCAGTAAGCCTCACCTTTACCGGAGGCCGCCCACTATAAAAATGGATGGGGTTTCTATCAAAATCACTACCACCATCAAGTATCTAGGGGTCATCATCGACCACAAACTAAACTGGGCTGACCATATTGCCTATATAACCAACAGGACTAACCATCTATTTAACACTGTCTCCAAGGTGGCAAAGTCGAAGTGGGGGCTTTCCCCAAATATTTTTTCTACAATCTATGACAGTGTCTTTCTACCGATGATCTGCTATGCCGCCCCAGTTTGGGCTGGCTGTTTAGGCTGTGTGCACATTGAACGGAAACTCCATGGTGCACAACGCAGAGCTCTTCTTCGTATCTGCCATGCCTTTTTTACTTCCTCCATGGCTGCCTTACAGGTCATCTCTGGTAAAATGCCTATTGAACCTTGCTATATCATTGGCTTCCAAAAGCCAATCATTCACCTTCACAAGAGCCACTGTATCTGTCTGGCCAACCAATCATTCTCCTCTTATGAGACTATTTGCCACCTGTCAGATCTGCTTCCTCCCTTTCTTCGACCCCAAATCAAGAACCAGCCTCTGGACCATGAAGATTTAACCATTTACACTGACTGCTCTAAGTCTGAGGAGAATGTTGGTAGTGCGTTTGTGGTGTATCAGGATGGTGTGGAATGCTACTATGGGACTGGTCATCTTGCCTCGAACTGCTTGGCATATCAGGCAGAGCTCACCGCCATCTTGATGTCTATTGAGTGATGCAACAACTACAAAAGCAACAACAGGGTCAACATCTTTACAGACTGCAGATCTACAATTGATGCCATCAATTATCATCTGCCTGAGAACACCCTTGTCATCAAGATTCAAGCAAGCATTGCCTCCTCTAATAACAACTTCTCCATCTCATGGATTAGAAGTCATGCGGGACTGCTTGGCAATGAGAGGGCTGACTTTCTTGCCGGGGAAGCCACCAGTCTCTCTTCTAATATGTGTCTTTATTCTCTCACACCTGCCTCCTTCATTAAGCATCTTCTCAGAACAGATGCAATTAACACCTGGCAAGAAAGATGGAACAACTGCCATGAGGGTCAGACAACATGGAAATTTTTTCCTAACGTTCCTACCACTAAACCTGCTTTAATGGCCACGACACTCACCTGTTCACTCAATTTCTGACCGGCCATGGCAGATTCAACAGTTACCTTCATAAGTTTGGTCACTCTGACAGTGACCAGTGCATTCATTGTGGTGTTCCAGACAGAGTCCAGCACTACATCTTTCAGTGCCCTATGCTGGAAGACTCCAGGGAAACAATTCGTCTTCTTCTTCCTACAGGCAGCGCCTGGCCCTGCCATGAAAGCTTTCTCCTACAGGATGGTAATTTGTCCTCAGCCTTCAAGGACCTTGTGAAGAACTATTTTCGCCGTACTTCAATCAAGTGAATGGTGCTCCAAGGACTTCTCTGCATCTACGTTATTGTACTGTTTCATTTTGTCGCTGAGTTCCCCATACACTTTCTAATGTTCATATACAGTCGACCACCCTATAAAATCATAGATACGTTCCATTCTTTAGGAATCCGATTTCTTACGAGTCCTTCCAATCACAGCCCGACACGTGTGAAGTTTACGGACTACGCTGATTGAAAGGTTTTCTTCCATAAAATTAATCGATTCTAGCCTAATCCGACTCAACATTTCCAAAATACGTATATTATTTTTGGAAATAATCCGTATAAACTACGCTATAAACAAAAATTGTAGGATTACTTACCGAGTGTGCACTATTAGACATCCCCATTGCTAAAGCTTGTTTTCGTCGCGGAACAGCTCAGCAAACAGCGGTCGATTTCTAATAACTTATTTTTCTGCGAAAACTTCGTTGAACTTTGAACACATCATTAATATAAATAATTTTAATCGCCGTTGAATAAGAAATGTTTCTTTCACAAAAAATGTATAAAATTACAGTACTGTATTAGACTTACGGTACCTAATTTACATACTGTACAGACGATAGTTAGCGTAAAATCTCCGT